TGCCTAGGCTTCTCCGACAGGTGCAGGCGGTACTTGTCTAATCTTAAAGTAACGCTGTAGACGAACTGGCTGCATCCGCCGACTGGACTCTTGAAGTCACCGGTAGTTTCAGCGCCGACGTGTACCCAGTCAAAGAAGAACATCAAAAGATACAAAATGACGTCACAGACCTCTGTCATACTCTGACACGTTGACTTAACATCCGTCATAAACGTAAACGATCCAAAACGCCTCGAAGGCACTCAAGAAAGCGATCTGCTTCTAGATGACGGGAGACAGATAACCTCGACTGGTGATGGTATCATAATAACTACAGAAAATCGCAAACTTGCAGAAAAACCTGAAATTTACCGAGCTCCAGACCGTCTGACACGGAAAACGTTTAGGGCAACTTCCCAGCCGACACGCGTTAACGGCAACCATTGCCGGTGGGCATAGCTGCCTGTTATACATCACTGGTGTGGTAAAGAAAAACCGCTACCTCGTCGACGCTAGCGCAGGAGTCAGCGTTCTTCTAGCAGACTTTAACGATCGACTGCACGAATCAGTTTCCAACTTACGGGTGGCAAACGAGAAACTAGTCACCACATGTGGTAAGTGGTATGTGTCTTAACGTGAGTTTACACAAAACCGATTCACTGGATTTTAGTTTTTCTGTCCTAATCATTGGCATGGACCTGCTACAACAATTTAATATAATTATCGACACACACAGACGGAGGTTAGTAGATGAAAATATTAATCTGTTTGCTTAACATCATTTTCCGGCTGTAGATTTTCCCCAGTCACAGTAAAACACATGACTAGTCCATACTACCAATAAATTTTCGATAAGTACTCGTAGGTATGCCTAAAACGCGATCGATTTGCCTCCTGAAAAGAAAAGTGACAAACAATCTGGATTGTTTCACACGATGACCAGAAACAATACCCATCAAGTACATTACTGCCGAAACAGTCGTCCGTTCTGTCAAACGATGGGTTGCATACTTCGCCTGCCCTTCAACTATCTCTACAGACCTTGGGCCTTGGATCAAAGCATATGAACAGGTAGATAACTCTCGAGGGAGAGCGACCTGTCGCTGTTGTATTCCAGTCGACACCGGAGACAGTCGATGGACGTAGCCTGATTTACCGAGATCGTCACTCCTCCATGGTGTGAAAACTTTATCAAGCAGACGCAACGTCGGACCGTATACAAGTTCAGTGGCGGAACATCCAATATCTGCCTTTAAGCTCGTTCTGATACCTAAGAGGACGAGTGGTAAGGTTTCGTGCTAATTTTTGTTTTCGTGTGTTCGAAGGGCACTTTTAAGTTGGAAACTAAGCCATTTGATGCTGGGTGGTAGGCGGTAGTGCATATGCGTTCCATACCAAGCAGCCGGGTCAGTGAGGAGAATAGTCAACTGGGGAAATTTCTCGAATAAAGTGTGGGATATACATTTCTAGCATCTTGAAAGGAACAGTTCGGCATTCTTAACAGCTCACATTACAGACCTGCAATTGATCGCTCCCACAGCTGCACATGAAGATCACCGAAATTGCATATGGCAGCTTGATTATGCAATTCAAGGATGAATTCCCCGAATTTTTGGTTATTCTGACGAATCATCTTATAAAATTTCTCTCTCACGACATCTAAAACTGGTGCACTTTACATGATTTAGTAGTAGTTCCTTATTAATGAGATAGGCTTTTCTGGATATGCCAAAGTTTCCAATAAACTGTAGGCTTCTTTTCCGATGAATGTAAGGAAACGAGACACAATTTTATCACCCTTCACGTCTTTCTTAGTCATGCTCCAGATTTCAAACCTTTCCAAATAATCCTCAAAACATTCAAAGTTGAATGAATGTCTTACTGTTCCATCACAGGCGCCATCGCGACGCCAATATGATGATTAGGAATATTTGAATCACGATACAAACTGGGAATCCCAGATATAACGCAGTTTAAGCAAGAAGTGATTGAAGATGGCACAGGTATTCAGTATTTGACAACGCTTTTACCAGTAACACCTAATTTGAAGCGTACTCACCGAGAGAAATCAAAAGACAGTCGATGAGATCGGAAGAGTGTATTTGGCAATAACCAATATATCGGAATTCTCTGATCTAATCTGGCTAGTGATTGCGGTAGATGTTGAGCACAGCGTTACCACACGCGATCTGGTGCGGATGCATGACTGAGCGCCTTCAGCTAGATGAGTCCACTAAAACATATGGTCAGCAACCAATGTTGAAAACTTACAGAGCTATTTATTTTGGGGATTTATTAACCGCTATAGATCACTCCCCCCTAGTGGGGTAGTGATGACCCTAAGACGTGGCCAGCCAGAAGTTTAAACCCAACGAGTTTGTCGTTGGTAAACACTCTTCTGATAGCTTGCTAGATCTAGCAGCGTCTGGTCGTCTTTCCTTACTATATGGGACCGGGGTACAACATAGTAAAAAAAGAAAAAGTACAATGAAAATTTCGACTCCTCGTAAACTGTATCGTTCTTTTCCAGCCGTCCTGGAAAAGATGTAAGCGCATATCGAAATACACTCGTATGTGCGTAAAAACAGTGTTGGCGAAAAAATGGAGAATAAACTCAAGCACACGTAATAGCGTTGAAAAAATTTATAATACGTTTCTTGTTTTTTTTAAAGACTATCATAAATCGTAAAAAGAAAGATCGATATAATATAAAACGTCGAGTAGTGCCTTACGTGCAGTAGTCGTTTAAATGTTCTGGAAATCTTACTCTCCTTCCAAAACGCATCGTCTTAAGTTTATTTTCAGATACATGCGGAATGTCATCGCTAGTGTTGGTTGTCGGTTGAGGAATTATGAGTGTAGGAGTCGTATTGTGCGATTGTACCGAAGGAAAGTCGACGTGAATAGGATTTCCTTCTAAATACGCTGCTTTTAAGCGGTCGATGCTGATGCTATCGTTTGTTCCGTTCTTATCGACTATTTAGTACTTAGATTCACGTTGAAGAACTTTGAAAGGTCCCTCGTATGCTGATTCGAATGGTCGTCGATGAGAGTCTCGACGAACGAAAACGTGTGTACTATATCGTAAGTCAGGTTGAACGAAAACATCAGTTGATTGAGGTCGAGTGGAAGCAGGTTTAACTGAACGCATTGCGTTTGTAAACCCGTTCGTGTAGGAGGTTAGATCCATGCTCATTGAAGAGGATGAAGGATCCACGAATTCTCCTGAAAGTAGAAGTGTCGTTCCATAAACGAGTCGAGCCGCAGTGTATCCAGTGTCAGCTTTCACTGCATAGAGAATACCTAGTAAGAAGAGTGGAAGAGCGTCGGTCCACTGTGATACATTTGTAGCTGATAGTGAAGCTTCCAGTTGTCGGTGTAAACGTTCTACCTACCCGTTCGCTTGTGCGTGGCAGGCGGTCGTTCGGAAGCAAGTGATTCCTAAAAGTGCGTGGATGTACCTAAAACGATGGGAAACGGTCGCGCAATATCATAGACTGATTAAAGTTAGACACACACCATTGGATACTATTTCATTGTTCTGAGGTGTAACCGTTCGCAAGATTTTTTCCCAGTTGTATGTGACCATTACTGGGGGATCTCACACGAGGACGAGACGACCTTCCAGTATATCCATGTTTCCAATGATTGTTCAATTCCAGTGGGTTCGTGATATCGACAAAATTCAACAGTTTACACAACCATGTACTAATCAGTATTATTATGGCCATGTACATGAAACCAGGGTAATTCTAACTTCACTGAACAAGGATAGAAGAGGTTGTCGCATGAATATTCAACTTCAGATAAGTAATTAGGCATCACGTGTTTTTAGAGCAAATGGCTACGACAGAGCTTCCGGATTTACTATGATCTCGTTTTACTCCCAAATTCTTAGTAAGCAATGAGCTAGTAATGTACTAAATGTCAAGTAAACTGAGTAATAAAAATGTGTTTGTAATATTTCAGTGAATAGGAAATTAAGTTTCACATGTTTTGACTTATATATCCGCTGATGAAGTGATCTGCACTAAGTCATGAAACATCAGAAACCTATTTTTCTATTCATTGGGATATTACGAAATATTATTTTGATCATCGTCTATCCAAGGCTGAATCTATTTGAACTTACCAAGTCCAGCCTTGATACTGAAAACTACAAAATCGTGTATAGTTTTGCATCGAACCACTCTTAGGAATATAAACTATGTATATGGATTTCATCTGCTTTTGGGTTTGCTGTCAAACACAAGCAATTTTAATACAACGATATACTGTTTCTGTATGTAGTTCTAGTAGAAAATGTTGATAATTCAACTGTTTATTTCATAGGTGATCATCAACATAAAATTTACGTCTTAAAATCATTCAACGTTTGATAAATAAATTGAAATCGAAATCACTATCGATCTGAATCAGTGAGCTAACAAGCAAGTGAAATCGAGAATGCACTTAAAAAGGTGATTAAATTTGTACTGGCATTTTTCTCAAGCTTTCGGTATTTCTAATAACAATATAATAGTATTTTGTACATGTTTTACTCATTGCTATATTTAAATTCGACTGTTTAATCTCTACTGATCTCGGAGATACTTACATGTCAGTCTTTATGATATCCTATATGATCATTCACATGATTATCAATACTCGAATTCACCATTACTATCATAAACACTAAGAGAATACTGAAACAGAATGCTGATCACCCTTAAAATTATTAACATGCATAATAAAAACAAGTCAAATCCTTTGTCTATATTTAACAGATTACACGAAAAAAAGGAACCTAATGAAGAGAAATGCATAAATTCAATCTGAATTTAGAATTACTAGAACTGGCAAAAAATATTAAGATAATTTCGACAAGATTATAAATTGCATATATCAGCAGACGATCATTTCAAAAATGTGGACAATAGAAAAATACTTAGTAGATGGTACGCAATATAATATTATGTACAACATAGTTTTTTTTTAAATTTGATAGACAAGAAAATGATAATTCTAAAAAATGACAAATGTTACAATTGTTGTAGATAAAATCCAACTTTTTCATAGACTCTTTTACAACCTGAAACAGAGAAGAACTTGCTCCCTTCCGGTGACCATTCAAGTTCATCCAGGACAAATTGAACCATATCTTCGGAAAATGTGACATTACGTCGCTTAGCAGCATCTTGAACACATTTTCTAACATGGGTCGGCTGTAATGGCAAGAATGGAATAACAGCTGTGATTAGATGTTTAGTAATTAGCTCAGAGTACTGAAGGCCACCTATGATAACAAAGGGAAAACAAAACACGTTACATAACTCTAAATATCAACGATAATTTATCATCACTTTTTCGTGAAGCAACACGATCACAATCATCATACAAAATGAAGCTAACAACGGTTCTTGTCAATGTCTAGCTATACACAACACTGAATCATTACAAGTCTATTTTAAAACATTTTGTCTTGAGAGGAATTTTTTTGAAGTGAATGCAACCATTTTTATATCCGGTATTATTTTAAAGAAAGACAATGAATTTTCTCATTCAGTTTAAATTTCCGCGAATAATGATTAGTGTGTTTCTGAGTTCGACAGATATAAATAGTATGTATCATCAATTGAAATACCCGGAAGCAGAAGATCAAAGAAAAGAAAACGAGAGCAAGGAATGATTGCTGTAAGAACGAAAGAACAATCAAGTTTGAGACGATTGATTGACACTTTTCAAATGAGTAATTTACTGTATGGTTATCAGATTTTACTAAGACATTCTGTAATTTTGTGTTCAAATACATCTGGTTGTCCCCACTTGTGTTTTTGTATACTACAAGTGGTCTTAGAAATCCAAATAATCAATCAATTATTTTGATTAAGAATAATTTGTGATTTAATTACATAAAACACAATTCACTCTTACAGTTCAACTGTAACATTCCCATCGTTTGAAACTTATGATATCAAGAAATAACTAGTTTAATTTAACCATTGAAATGGGACTTTCCCTTTTTCAATCAATTAACGTACTTTAATGATCAAATGTAGATTTCTGTACTCAGCTTCAAGCCATAAGGATTCCCTTATATGAAAACTAATCGGTTATCTGAAATGAGGTAAAAAGTTGGGGGTTTTGAACGTGAAACTCAATGGTTGAAAGCTGAATACTTTACAATCATATAAATCACCGCTAATCTTCAAGAACTAAAATGTTGCTTCATTAGCAAAAACGGAACAGAAATACACTACATCAAAATTCTATGTAGTTAATTATTCCATAGAAAAATGAAAGTCAAGTTAAGAAACATAGGTAACTAAAAATCTAATACAGTTGATTTATTGTTTAACAGATTAATGAATTTTATTTACGCCTCACAATTTCCAAATGCAGTTTTGTTAAGTGTAGATTGGATTTTTTTAATTTGATAACAAAGAAATCCGAATCTGATACTGGTATACATTCCCCTAAACAAGAACCTAATCAGTTATTTTAATGAAGAAAAACCAAGAGTGAATGGAAAGCTATATACTGACAAAATAATTTGAAATTTATGCATTAACTCATTCGGTTACATAGATACGTATTCCACAGAAAATCAGGCCAGATTACCAACCATTAGCATGAATCAGCCCAAATCCCCTTACTAGCCACTTAGCAATGGATTGATGTCTAATTTCCCTGCATATCAGTAAGGATTTAGCTTTTATCTTTAAAAAAATCGACTAAATTGTCTCGAATTTAATTTTGCTTTTAACGTAAGATTTCTATAAAAAAGCTTCTTGTATATATCAATTACATAGATTAATTATTGTGGCATCCAATCAGAACTATTAGATAGATTGTTCGAATCCTACATATAAAATAACACTTTGGTTTTTACTAAATGGAATAAATATGGTTAAAATCACAGTGAGTCATAGATAAGTATGCATGTTGGTTCCAGTTCGTGCAACTTTTATCAGGCCAGCGAAACAGTACTAACTCTAATTAGAAGAAATAACACAACTTGAGATTTAAGGAAAGATAAAGAACAAATCCAACTATGACCAATGTTGGGTCATGTCACTTAACATTGCCAAACAGAGATTAAAACTAATGTGTAAACTTCGACCAGAATATGTTTGACAAAACGGAACGGATCATAGGTTGTCTTCAGAAATTTAATAGTTGAATTCATGAGTCGATTTAACCAAGATCACCCTGGAAAACCTGGATGGCTGTTCCGTCCTAGTATGGGACTCCTGAAAGGTTCACACTCGCGATCCCGCACGCAGGATTCGAACCCAGGTCATCTTGTGATTTCTTATTTCACTGTCATCCATCGGTAATAAATGGGACTATCAAAAGGCCGCATATTAATAAAGGTGACCACTGAAAATGGGAACAACATTTTTAATGGAGTGAAATATGTTCAAGTTAACCTCTGACCCTTTACCTTACGGCCAGTTGAAAACGTAGTTTTCTAAACGTATGATGAAGTCTACTTCCAACAAATATTGTAATCTTTTAATTTGATAATCAATTGCTATTGTTATTATCCTAGTCATGTTATCCTGTACATCTATTTCGAACAGCTAGGATACAATTTATTAAAAAGAATGTTTGTGTGGGCTTGATTTTCAATATATAAAGAGTTTGTGAGACAATTTCAGGTGATCGAAAATGTGATAATAAAAAATTTATCGTATTACAGCGCCACCTACACTTCACCGTACGATATTCAACACATTTCCAAATATTGTTGTTGCCATTTAAAAAAAAAGTGTAATCATTCACTACTAAAATGCTTACGCCCTTGTTGCTCTTCATGTATTGTAAATCCATTCAAATAAGATGTAAATAATAGTCTAGAATGTAACTCGTTGACCTTACATACAATTGTTTAACTCTAAACTCTAATCAAATACTTTACTTCATAACAAATAGGTACGAATTTATCTTACATATCATTACATTTTACCCGATCGAAGCTGCTACCTTGACGCGGTGGTCGGGCTTGCCTATCGTGATGAACCAACCGAGCTATATTGGCTGGAACATATGTTCCTGCAGGTTCTACCATGCCAGGCAGGTCGATTGGCGAACGGTAAGACTAAAAGCAGCAACTCAAGGTCTGAGGGCGAAGTCGTACTGCTGACTGTAGAGAGGTGTGACAGCAGTAAGGTGTTTCCCTCGGACAACCAGCATGACAGCGATGCTGCCTTCCCACAAGGAGGGGTGGGGTTAGAAAAGGTCGACCCTAAAAATGCACACCTCACCTTACCTCACGGATTTCCGTCTCCGGCGGTAAGGCCCCTTGAAGAACGGAGCTAACACGTCAAAAACCTTCCACAAAAAGGCCGTGCGCGACCGGCCTCAAGCAGTTGTCCCTTGGGCTCTGCGGTCACGCTCCCAGGTCGTCAAGACCAACACTAATCCAATTTCCTTTTCAGGTTCATCAAGAAATACCCTTCCACGGTGTGGGCAGCCGGGAAGTGACATCAGCCCTCATACCCGTAACAGCACACGAGACCAAGGTGGTCACATTCAAATCCTTCCTACACCTCCTAATACCTCTCTTATCCTCCCGACTAACCCTCCTCACGTCTCTTTATCACCTCGCACCGCTAGGGCAAACGATTCGAGTACGTCGAACGCCATTCCTGGTCTCCTGAAACCACGCTCTAAACTACACGTAGGAGCTTTTAACGTACGAACACTTTGCCAAATAGGACAGCAGGCTTCCTTAGCTAAAACTTTAGAATCTCGTGCCATCGATGTGTGCTGCGTCTCCGAAACGCGCATACAGGATCCAAGTAGCGTCATTCATTTGACCTCACCATGCCAAAATAAAGAACCGACTCGATTTACGCTTCGTGTATCTGGAAGCCCTGATTCTGCTTCCCGTGGCCTCGCCGGCGTAGGTATAGCATTGAGTCCTAGGGCCGAACTAGCTCTCTTAGAGTGGATCCCAGTAAACAGTCGTTTGTGCGCTGTCCGACTGAACGGAACAGTAAGAATCCGGAAAGATAGGGACACTCGTCGTTGCCTCTTCGTCGTCTCTGCCTATTCTCCCACTGACTGCAGCTCAGATGATGTAAAAGATGAGTTTTACAGAAAGCTTTCGGACCTTCTTCGAAAAGCTAAGCGCTCGGATGTAGTAATAGTGGCCGGTGACTTTAATGCTCAAGTAGGTAAACTAAGCGATAGGGAAAGACACCTAGGTGGATCTTATGGTGTCGTGGCTCAAAGAACAGATAATGGCGACCGTCTGTTGCAGCTATGCTCAGATAACCGCCTGTTCCTTGCAAATACTAACTTTAAACATAAGGAAAAACATCTTTTAACATGGAGGCCCCCTAATTCATCCCAACGTTGGACCCAAATAGATCGCATCGCTATCAGCCACCGATGGAGGGGCTCGATAGAAGACTATCGCTCATTCTGGAGCACATGCCTAGATTCAGATCATGCTCTAGTACGAGCGCGTATTTGCTTGCGTCTTACTGGACGTAGGAAAGACGCTGCAAGGAAACCTCTTAGGGCCCTACTTAATGATAGTCAAGCTAAGAGTATATTTCAGGAACAACTAGGAAAACAGTTAGGCAGCCATATATGTGATGCCCACCCCGATGCAGCATGGAATGATATCCGAAAAGCTGTGGAAACAGCAGTGATATCTGCTAGTAAGGTAAACCAGAAGGTTAGGGAGCAACACTGGATCTCAGCAGCATCTATCTCACTGATAGATGCTCGGAAACTCATTACACCTGGCTCTGAACATAATGAAGAGCGGAGTCAGCTTAAGCGCAAGCTGACAAGAAGTCTACGCAATGATCGCGAACAGTGGTGGGTAGCGAAAGCATGAGAGATGGAAAAGGCAGCGGCAATAGGTAATAGCAGACAATTGTTCAGACTCGTTAAGGAAACCTGTATTAGGAACCCGACCGTTAGCGAAACAATCTCAGAGAAAGATGGACATATTATTCATTCTCAATCCAGGAGATTGGATCGATGGGCAGAACACTTTAGGGGTCAGTTCAACTGCCCTTCAGCCACACTTCGGTTTCCCACGATCTCTAGTCAACCTGAATGGCAAGTTAATGTAGGTCCTCCGTCCCTTTACGAAGTTGAAAAAGCCATAGGAAATCTGTAACGAGGGAGAGCAGCAGGTCCTGACAGGTTTACTCCTGAGATTTTTAAGGATGGTGGTTCAGTATTAGCAGTGAGATTAACTGAGGTCTTAGGTAGAATTTGGGAACTGGACGTAATCCCATCTGACTGGTTTCAATCACTGATTGTGCC